TAATGATGTTCCTCTGGTTTCTTCCCTTTCAGTAGGCTTGTCCTGGTATTTGTTGCTGGAACCTCTGATGTATCTGTTTTAGATATTCCATCAGCCAGTTCTTCATTACTCTGCTGTAGTTATCTATTTTCCTTACACACATCTGAGGTATAGTTGACAGTGTTGTCTCTATTATTCAGGTGAGGGACCAGAGCACAAAGGAAACCCTACTGTTAGATGTAAGTATGTCACAGAGAAGGAACCTAAAATAATTTCTCCTGTGTTTTAAAAGTTCAGGCAGTAAATCTTGGACTGTTCTGCTGACTGAAAGGAGGGGAAGGTGGGAAGAAGACATTTGCAATAGAGTCTGGAGAAAATTAAGTGGGAAGCAGTCGAGTGAGTTTTATGTACAGATCCACTCTTCCTTGATTCTCTAATATGCATCTTAATTGAATCTTTTTTTCAACAATTTCCCAATTATGTAAACCAGTAGATCTTTTGTAGTCTTTTCTTTCAAATACTTTTTTTTTTAGTTTCACCAGTTAAGTGGTCCAAAATTCATTTGAAAACTTTCATTGTTGTCTTCCAGGATTTTAAGTTAATGGAGCTTGTACAATACAACTCATTTGACTAGAATGAATCTTGAGTTAGTCTTCAAGAAGAAAAAGTAGAGGAAATCTGATGAACATGTGTGTTAAGTGTTCCAACCATTCTCTTTCTAGTGTGTCTCTTCAATTCATTAAAAAAAAAAAAAAAAGGAAGGAAGCATTATTTTTTTGTAGTTGATGTGTTGAGTATTACATTTGATTTGGGAATGCAACTTTCATCTCTAAGAATCTTCATTACTGTCTTACTATATTGATTTTTAATTTTTCTTATATGTTTTAAATATCTTCTTGTAAATAAAACGTAGAAAAACAACTAACAATGAGCAATGTAGAATCATAGGTGTGAGTCACCAGGGGAGAGCTTTATAATGATAGTGATGTTCAGAAAAGCAAACATTTGGTTCACGTCTCTTTTTGTATCTGCTAAATTTCTTCTTCTTTCTCAAAATTTCTGTTGGAAGATACCCAGATCCAATGTTTAGGTACAGTTCCAAATTATGTTAGACATAGATTTATTTTACCTCAAATCTAAAAAAGTTACATTTTTGAGGATGAGACCTAAATTTGCACAGAGCTTAGGGGCTTTGGGAATTTTATTTCATCAGGGTACATTTCTTTACCGCTTGGACATTTTCCCAACTATTTTTTGAGCTCACAAAATTAAGCTAAAAATACCTAATTATGTCTGTACTGTAATATCATTTTATGATTTTGAAGACTCTTATCCGAACATGATGTTCTTACAGTGAGAACTGTTTCTTTCCATAAAAGGAAAAAAAAAATAAAAAGAAGACTAGCACATATTACAGCAGAAATATGTACTTGACTTCAAAAAAGCCACAAACTGTCTAGCTCAGGTTGTGTGATGTCTGCATCAGTATGTGAGTAATCATGTTGTTCCACCATCCAGTGGTTCTGTCACCTGAGTACTGGAAGATGTGTATCCTGTGGATCCTCCACTGAGTTTTGCTCAGTGAAGAAACATCCTTGTAATCTGTAGCCTGTAGTGCACAGATGGATACACAGCAGCGGGAAGCAGCCTGAGTATAGCTTGCTGTTTCCCCTGCAATGTGTTACATAAAGCAAAAGTTCTAATTAACTGTGTCCAGATCACTTAGAACTGCAGGTCAGACCATTCTTTACAAAAGCAGTCTGTACACGTCTTGCTCTGGTTTATGGAGTTCTGCTGTTGTGCTGCCACTTCAAATAAACCATGGTATAGAAGGAAGTTTTACTCTTCTCATCAGGTACATATGCATCCTCTTTCCATTATAACTTGAAGTATCTTTTCATAATTTTTAGGGAGGAAAGAGAATATGTTTATCCTGATAAAAACAGGTTACTCATGAGGGGTTTTTCCCTCTCCTTAACATTCTTGATGGAACATGAGTTAGGTTCCTAATAGAAAAAAAAAAAAAAATCTCCCAGAGACTGGAAAACCATAAAGGGCCCCTCCTCTCCTTAATTTTGTACAAGTAGAAATATATATTGAAATATATATTGAAATAGGCATGCACTGGGATTGTAGAATTAGTCCTCCCCAACTGTCTGTAGTGCAGTAGTGCAATTAAAGGATATTCTGTTCTAGCTGCATGCTTCAAAATGTTAGTTCTTTATATATGCAGTCAGGAACTTTGAAGTTATATCTTAAGTGAAAAATCAAGGTGATCTGCTTTCTCTGGATTATAGTAGATTTGGAAAACAAATTATTTTGCACAGTGCCTCCTTTGAATGATGTCCTTGTATGATGTCCTCTTGTGCATGTGTCTCAAAGAATAGCTGACATTCCTGGGCTCTTTCAAGTCTGGGCAATTGTAAAAAAGATTTGGCAGTCCATAAATCCACAGATTCATAGATCTTCTTCCAATCATGGTCTTTCTGTTTAGACATGGTATAGTTTTTGGCAGATACAGTTGCCTATTTCTCAGGCTGGAACTGGATTTTTTTTTTTTCCCTTCAGATTGCTAATTTTTACCTGAAAAAAAATTTTTTTGACTGTATAGTTTTATTACATTTGTCTGAAAATACTGTAGTTATCTTAGTGTTCTCATCTTGTTAAAATTTCTTTTTTTTTTTTTTTTTTTTTTTTTTTTTTTTTTGTCATTGCTCTCTATAAGTCATGAGAATTAGAAGGGAAAGTTTTGGACTAGAACTTTTTATCTTGGAACTTACTTATCTTTTTTTGGGCTTCCTGCCTGTACTCTTTTCACACATTGACAGAGTTGCCATGGTGTCCCTCGCATGGTGTCACTCTCCAGTGGTCCCATTGTATTAATCCTGGAACTGCCTCTTCAAAGTAAATTGAATCATCTTTAAGGTTCAGAGAATTATTTCAGGATGTTATTACTGTACTAGCCACCGACCTGATATTCTTCCCTCAAAGAGAATAGACTAGGTTATGTTTCCATTATACATTCTTGTTCTGCATGGTTTCAGTACATCTGTCTGAAGTTGATATTTTAAGTTTTTGCTTTAATTTCTTTCTGTTGAATACCACTGGCAAATTAGGTTTAGTACTGTCCATCCTCTTCCCCTTAGAATTTTGATTAGTTCTGTGCTGAGCACCCAGTTGTACACTGCAGTTGTATGTGTTTGATATCTACATACTTATTTGTCAAAATCGAATTGCTGTGACTCAGTTAATTCTCTATTGCATTGCTGTATAGCTGCAGAGAAAGCAACATTGTGGGGGAAAAATCCCAGACCAAATCTATTCAGATAACACTATAAAATGGTTAAACTCTCAGCTTTAGACTGGAGGATGGCCTGAGTGTCATAGTGTTATGACCAGTTGGGTTTTTTTAACTGGTGGAGAAGGGAAAAAAAGTAAGGTAAACATGAACCTTTCTTGGTATTCCTTAGGACCTGTTCCAGGCATATCACAGTCTGCCCACTATGCTTGGTGATGCCAAAGGCATAGAAAGCTGCTCCATGGCAGCAGCTGAAAGTTCCTGTATCTTGTGGAAAGCTGGATTGGTGAAAGCACAGAAGGTGCTTCATACAACTTGCACTCCAACTTCAGTGACATTCTGGGGGGCACTGGGACGTAGGTGGGATGCTCCTGGTGGCCTTCTGTGGGCACCAACCCTTCAGGGAATCACCTGCCTCACGTGGTTTGGAGGAGACCTCAGGCAGTGGGCTGCTTCTCAATGTGTACACTCTCGGCCAGGGATTTGGTTCTTCACTGTTCTCTCTTGTTGTACTCAGTCATGCTCCCACAAACTTCAGCAGGGACTGCCCTGGGTGAGGAGCATGAGGCAGCAGAACCTGCTGGGGAACAATGAACATGGTAGAAAGGGACTGTAGGGCAGAAATCACTGCACAGGCAGTGCAGTGTCACACTGGGAGGGACAGTCTTGTCTTGGTTCTCTTGGACATGAGAGCTTTTGAATGCTCCCAGTTGTTAGGGCAGGGTACCTTCAGAGCTCTTTGTTATTCCAGGGAAAGAAAAGGGTGTATAGAGTGGAAGTCATCACACCAACTCTCTGTCCTAGGGAGTTCTTGGTGAAGAAGGGACAAGTGCCTTAGATCTGTGTCTGAGTCCCTTTCCAAATGCAAAATGAATAACTGTAAATATGGAAAGGGCATATGGTACAACTTGATCCTAAACAGAACAAGCAAGGTTTCACCCAAAGTGATTTAAATTTGGGTGTGCCTTACTTTGAATTTCTCTAACTTTTCTTCATATTAACATTTTACTTGTCCGTTCTTTTTATAATTGACATTGGCAATACAACTGCAGAGCACGGATGCTGTTTTTCACTGATGGCTTTTCAGAAATATGGAACAAATTCTGCAGAGTGCCCACATTTGAAATACTCATGGAGACATCTGTGAGACATCCTGATGGGCAAATACAGACTTTCCTTCTTTTAATTTCTTTCTTAAAATTCAGTGATCCTCTGAAAAAGAGCTGGATGAGTGGATGAGATACCTTTATCCCATACCAAATCTGATAGAGGTCTAATGAGAATCTTCCAGATCTTGGGCCAAATTCTTCTCTTATGCAACAGCAAGCTGTGAAATCAACTCTTCTTCTTCCGCATAGCTGAGGAGATGCTGTTAGTACTTGCCAATGAGCCTGTGCTCTTCATAGCTCTTTTTTTCCGCCTGGTGGGTGGTGATGAAAAGGTGTACATGTCAGGCTTCTGTCACTGCACAATAAAAAATAAACGAGCACTGCAGAGAACTTCAAAGTACAGACAGAACTAGCCAGTTATTTCAAACCTAGAATTTAGTTTTCTTCATAGTAGTGGATTTCTTTTCGTATTTAATGAACACTGAAAAGAACAAAAGGATGGCAGAGAAGAGTTGAAAAATGGACAGTTGGTGCACAGAGAGGGATTTTCTTTGCAGAGTTTCAATGCTGAAGCCTTTAGAAAAGAACACTTACAGATGTTTGATTTCTTTCAGGTCTTCAGATTTTGGGACATTATACACAAAGTTGAACCTACAGCCCGGGATTGCCACTGTTATTGACAATTTCTACATTTGTTCCACCAACAAAAAGAAGGTATGTGGCAAAAAACCGTTTTTGTAGTGCAGGTGAGATTCTGCGACTATGTAAAGAGTGTTTTACAGGTTTTCACAACAATATAGGAAACTGATTGAAGATCAGCTTTGGTGCATTTCTGACATACAGAAGTGGGATGTTTGTTTTTCCTGAATAGTACAGACAGAAAAAAATTACCTTGATGGATATGGAAACCTTATGAGATCATTGACTCATATGACTCCTGGAAATCAAGCTTTCATAGTGTTTTCCATGCAAATGAAAGAAGAAATTCTGCAGGTTTTCACACATCCCAGTGGATTCTGGGACTTACATTCAAATTCTTCGTCCTTAATGCATGAGGTTCTTTGCATGTTCCTTAATATAAAGTATAGGGATTAGGCAGGCTGTCATTGATAATTATGTTTATCCCATGTAGAATCTTAATTAAATAAATTTTAAAAGCCCCCCTTCTTGAAGATTTCCTAGAAATGTTCCTGCATCATTACTAAGAAAAAAACCACTTTTCCTGGAACCTGGAAAGGTTAAATGGACTTTATAAGTGAAACGGAAATTGACCCACTGAGAGTATTTACAATGGATGTTATATTAGAAGCAACAGGAACAATGATTATGAGAAAAAATCATGGTAACAGCCCTTCTATGTCTTCGAAGTGCCTGTGATTTAAAACGGCAAGAATTGTGAAGTACAATGTGAAACATAAGCACAGTGGGTCTTTCATGAAATAACAGTTTTCTTTTGATAAGGGCCTTTTAAACCCAGTGTAACACAGAAACATTGATTTCAGGTAGAGGCCTCTGATTGGAAGAACAATGTTTGTTGTGTTTGTCTGTCTGTTTTGCTTAATCAAAAATCAGTGGAACTCTGTAAGGCTGCCTCGATGATTAAGTACATATTGTATTTCCCTTGAAATTGTCACTGGAATTTTGTGCCCAAGCTGTGCTATTTCTGAGATTGGTAATGTATTTTTAATCTGCTGCAAAGCCAGAAAGTATTATTTTGTTTCTTGAGGTGGAACCGCCAACAAGCACAAAGTTTCTCCAGATTGTTTATCTCAGATATACAATCTACTGGTGGTTTCAAGTACAAAAGAATAAAAACCAAAAAATCTTTACCCATCTCAGTTTCTGGAATAAAAGCTAGAAGGATGAGATGGATGAGAACACCATGGAGGAACTTTCCCAGCTCACTCAGCTACAATATCAAAGCCTGCTCAAGCACAAGGGTTCAGTGACAATATTATTGTGCCAGTTATGTGAAAAAATAAACAGCAGTAAGATCACTGCTTTATTCCAAGCCTGAAAGACACACCAGTGTTCACAAGAACCCTCATGTTAATCCTGTCTAAGAAAAACCTATATTCTCCTGAATTTCACAAGTTGAATTTCTTAGAGATACAAACCCCACTTAGTAAACTAATATGATATTGAAAACCAGCTGATTCAGAAAGTCCCTTTGAGTCAGTAGAAATATGCTATTTTTATGTGAATATTTGCTTCTATGAAGGTGTTGTTTACTAGTATACAAACAACAAAGACAGCAGAGCAGAAAGGATTTTTAGGGGCTTTAAATGATGCCAGAGGGAGATATATTAATGCATGGAAATATACATACATGCATATGTGGTACAAAAATTATGAAAGCAGTAGGGTTGCATGTTTTAGCCAATGGCTTCAGACTGTTCTTGGAGGTTTCACAGTCACCTGTGGAAGGTAAGAGGGAGTCTTCATGTTGTAAGTCTGTTGTAATGAGAAATTTTAGGTGCTGGACCTTTGATTAGGGCATTAAGAGCAAGACTAAGTTGATCTCACACAAGTTATTTGGGATGATGGAGGAACATATCTCCCTGTCTACCTATTTCTGCACAGTTGCACTGGGATGGAATAGAATATTTAGAACTCTGACTCGCTTTTCTGAGCTGAGCAGACACCTCAGGGTTTTACTTGTTCTTGATGTTACTTCAGATCATTATGGTGTGGGTTTTCTTCAACTAGTTCACATCTTTTAAAATGTGTTGAAAATGGAAACTGGATTGCTGACTGCATATACTGGAACTGAGCATGCACTTTAAATTTAAAGCATAAGTAGTCCCATGCTACCACTTAGCATTTAGTGACTGGGAAAATACATGAAAGCAAAGATAAAATACATTTATGGGGATTTTTAATACTTCACATAGTAAAACGTGTTCTATGATTTCATTTCATTTAGCCATTGTTGTCCTCATCTGTGGAAGAACAGATTCTGCACATTTAAAGCTCATCATTCCTACCTCAGTGTCATCAGAGCATTAACCACACCTGATTTAAGTTCTTTAGAATTAGATATCTATTCAACCTCTCTCCCTCTACAATCAAAAAAAAAAACAAAAAAACAAAAAACAACCAAAAAACAAAAAACCAAAAAAACCCAAACCAAACAAAAAACCCCCAAAAAAACAACCAAACAAAGGAGAAATATGGGTATCTCCAGGCAGTTCATACTGTTAAAATCATAGTTCTTTGTGAGAATTCTATGACAATAAGGTTGAATTATCTCGTGGAAGTCTCTGTAACTGACTTTGTGACTGTTGTGGGTTTGAACAGAATCAAACTGTGGCTTCCTACAAAGACATACAAAGCTATGGGTCATGGGTTAACCCCAGCTGGCACCACACTGCTGTTGGCTCACTTAATCTGCCAGTTCCCTCAGGGCCTGTGGATTCCTCTCATCAAGTCCCATGGACTTGTGCACCTTCAGGTTCCTTACAAGGTCTCAAACCTGTTCTCCTCCTATCATGGCAAGTTCTTCATTCTCCCAGTCCCAGCCTTTGCCATCTTTGATTTGGGCCGTGTGACTAAAGGTCTCATGAGCCAAGAAACAAACAGATTATTTGATTGTTTGTTTTGAAGTGCAATTAAATGAAATATCTGCTAGAAGGCTCCAGTCGAGTTCTTGGGCTGACATAATTTTTACAGTTCATAGCTTCCAGTCTACCAGCTCCTGAAGTGGCTTAGAATTTCACTCAACTTGCCTCTACTCTGTGAGCTGCAATCATACCAGACAGACCAGTGGACTTCTATGTGAGCTTTATATAGAAAATATGAAATTGTTCTGGGAATTTTCTGTGAATTACTCTACTTTTCATTTTCGTAAGAATGTATTGAAAATAATGCAGTTGATGAAGAAGTGCATTAGCAAAAAGTACAACAGCATCCTTTTCACATAGTACTATATGGAAAAAGGATTGTATAAAAACCCCCATAAGGTAAAATAAAGGAATGTTGTTGACTGAATAAGCTGGAGGAAGTATGGAAATCATCTATAAACCCCACTACATTCATTCAAAAAGTGACACATTCCATTTAGCTTTTAGCCTTCTATGAACAAGTTGTGGTGAGTACTGTTCATAGGCCAAAGTTAAGAATCGGGAAGGAGTTGTACCAAGGTCATGTCTACACAATCTTTTGACAGCTGAGGTAAATTCATTCACTCTGTGTCTTTTTCTGGCTGAAGGCAGCAGAACTCAAATGCAGAAATTGTGTTTCTTCAAATACCAGAGGACTCAAGCTATGAAACCCAGTTTTGATGGCAAATCTCTGAGGGTAGAGCTTTAGAGGGCTTTGTTTGTTGCTCTGAATGGACCTTTCTGATGAAATAATGGGATGGAGGTGTGAACTGTGGCTGTACTCTCTGTGAGGCAGAGTTGAATTGCAGTCAGCAGCTGCACAAGTAGAAAACATTTTGACCTACCTGCAAATGACCAAGTAGGATCATAGATCATCACCCTAAGTGCTAGTGAAACAGCAGAGAAATAGGCAAGGTCACACTCTAATGAAGAGTTTATGCTTCCTAAGGATGCATTAATATTTGGTTTGCATTCTGGCTGAATTTAGAGTAGTATAAACCAGCAGCTGAAGACACTGATAGTGTTTTGGAAAGCTGTGGACTAGAGAAAGGGAGTTCTGCTATGTAAGCTCTCTGATGCCAACTTCTCCATTTGAAGCACTTTTTCATTCATCTCTGTTATAAAATAACCTTTCCCTATGCAGTCTTGAAAGGTTGTGCAGTGATAAGGAATGTCCCTCCACTTTAAACTACAGAATTTATGTAATTATCTTGTTTTCAGTAATTAGCACATGCTGATAGCATCAAATGGTGCAGGAAATCCATCATGTACCATGTGCAGGAAATAATTTGCTTTGTGTTCTTTGTTTTCTAAACCAACATTTTAATTGTGACTTGAAAGTGTGATGTACGTGGTTTATAGAGTATGGGATTAAGGCTTCCATAGCGTCAATCTGGAATCAGGTGAACAAAGTAAATTCTTTCTACAGAATAAAAAAGTTAGCAGAATTTAGTTTCACTAAGCTAAATTATCAATAAAATATTTAAAAATTTTTGGGGCATATATGCTATTGGATGAAAAATTACATATTTGCTTTTATGTAGGCTTGCTGGGGATGAGTTGAATGAACACACGGATTTTTTTCTTCACATTCAGTGCATATTTTAATTTTAATTCATGCTAATGCAATTGGTGCATCCATCCTTCTGTTTATAAGCTTTTGGAAAACATGCAGCTAAGCAGTTTATATTCAGGCTTTTGATATTAAGAGAAAATAAGTATTGATTGTGATACACTAACTTATTAGTTAAATGAGTTGAACACTTACATTTCCCGGCTGTCACAATAACCAATAGCTGCATGTTTCTTCCAAACTGAAAGGCAAAGTGACAAGCATGTATTCTTGCTTGCCAAACAAGTATCTTATTACTTAAGATAGCAATAAGGATATAGGCTTTTTATACACTATTTTAACTGCTGATAATTTAAATAGTCTGAATTACTTTGCAGAAGAGTATTTGCCAGAACTATAAAAGCACTTCCCAAGATACAATTGTTTTGAGCAATGCTTGTAAGCACTTACAGGTAAATACAGTTCTACATAATTTTGACATTTGTCTTTCAGAGCAGAACAATTGGTTGTGGAATTTGTCAAAATGCAGTATGACTACA